CGGCAGACAAGTGCAGCTTATCATTTCAATATCATATAACATCGTAGAACACTGGAAAGTTGACACATTATATCTCTGACCAACCTCAGGTCTTCATAATGAAAAAGGAGACACACCATTGGGGAGTTTCTGCAGGCACTGAACACAAAGAGCTGCAGTTCTCAAAGTGTGGTCTCTTTACCAGCAGGATCAGCATCATTTGGGAACTCACTAGAAATTATCAGGACCCACTCAAACCTACTGCATCAGAAATTCTAGGGGCAGGGCTGAGCATTCTGTGTTTTAACAAGCCCTTCAGGGGATTCTGATACAGGCAATAATGCTATAGTGTGAGAATTAATGATATAGAACATTCCTACCCAAAGAATAAGATAAATCAGGATAGTGAGCCCCTGTTAGGTGTGATGCAAACGTCAGTTAAAAAAAAAAAACATGACTGGCATTTGCACTTTCTCTTTTGTTGACTTCTTGATTTCTCTTTAAAGTCAGAAATCTAAGGATGATAAAATTAAGTTGCTCTGTAGTTGAAGCAAATTTAACTGAAGGACTTGAAATGAGATTGTCTGGTAGGGGAGTGTCTTCAGAAAAACTTCCTTAACGGGAATCTGGGAAAGATATACTACAGAAAGTCTCTGTAAAATCTCTAAATTTTATCACTGGGAGAGACTGAAAGGGACCATCATATCTGCCTTTAAGAGGAAATGCCAGTTAAGGAAATCAGTTTGTCACTATCCATAAAATGACTTTCTGGAACTTTGACTGGGATTGCATTGAATCTATGTGATCCAATTGGAAAGAACTGGCATCTTGACAATATTATGTCTTCCTCTCCATGAACATGGAATATCTCTTTATCTACTGAGTAGCTCTTTGACTTCATCTGTCAGAGTTTTATCATTTTCCACATATAGATTTTGTATCTATTTTGTTAGATTTTACCTAAATCTGTACACATTTTATTTCCTTTTCTTGTCTTACTGCATTAGTTAGAACTTCCAGTATGATTATGTTGATAAGCAGTGGTGACAGGACATACTCTTGCCTTGTTCCCGATTTTAGTGGTAAAGCTTTGAGTTTCTCACCATTAAGTATGATGTTAGCTGCAGGTTCTTTGTAGATATTCTTTATCAAGTTGATGAAGTTTCCCTCTATTCCTAGTTTGCTGAGTTGTTTTTTTAAATCATAAATGGGTGTTAGAATTTATCAAATGCTTTTTCAGCATCTCTTGATATGACCATCTGACTTTTCTTTAGCCTGTTGATGTGTTGGATTACATTCATTGATTTTTGAGTGTTGAACCAGCCTTGTATACTTAGGACAAACTTCACTTGGTCCTGAGGGTAAGGATATTTTTATTCCATCCTAGGGAATTAAAAGAAGGGTCAAGGTGCAAAGGTCACTTAGAGCTCGCTCCAGAAGAGCAGTCCATTAAGCACCCAGAATAATCAATGTAGTTAAAATACTAGACATCAGAGGAGAATGGCTAAGTGGACGTATCCCAGGGTACCTGCAGACACACTCAGGCTGGGTAATCTGGAGAAGGTTTAACAAAGGAGCTACTGAAAAATGATCAGGCACAGTGGAGAGAAATCACAAAGGATGGGCCGTCCGAGGCTAGTCAGGGCTGGGGCAAGTTTACTACACTTAGGCCTGAAAAAGAGAGAAGGACAGTTCCAGGAAACTGGAAAAAACCATCGGATAGGAGACGTAATTTTTGGTGAGGAGGGAGCTGAAAGAGACGTCCGGACT